CTGGGGAAAACGAGTGGGGCGATGGGAAGGAGGTGGAGAAGAAGATGACGAAGGAGAAGAATAGGCAGAAGAATAGACGGAGGTAGAGGTAGAAGAGGTAGGATGAGGAGAGTGAGTATGGTTGTTGTTGTTGTTTCGAGTTTGATTGTTTCGACCGTGAGTTTTGCTTCTGCGACCACGGTGCGCCAGCAGACGACGTGGTTCCCCAGCAATTTTTAGGCCAGCTTTTCCAGGCCCCCCCGATGGAAGCAGTGCCCTGACCCCTGAATAGGGGCTGCTTGATGTGCCGGCGCGGCCGAACTCCACTGTGGGCCACGAGTTTTTTTTGGCAGTGGAAGAACGACTCGAATTTGCCAATGGCTTACGGCATTGCCGCAAGCCTGCGGTCTCCTACGGTGCACCAGATGGGCGCGTGTCGACGGTGCCAATTCGGAGATCCGTCCCACCGGCTGATCAACGGCGTACCAGGCGGAGCCTCGTCTAGACGATGCCGATGCGACGTTCCACCACCAACCGGCTGACCAGCGGTGTATCAGACAGAGCCTCGTCACGACGGCGCCGACGCGGTGTTCCATCCGACCAACCGTCCACGGAGTCCGCTGTCACCTGTGCACGCGGCACAACGCGCACAGGGAGTAACCGCCCTCACCTGGTTTAGCCCGCCGGTCGAGACGGTTGCCCGGGGTGTGGCCGCTGAGCAGAGCCCAGCTACGTGGAGCCACAGGTGAGAGTTGAGTGCCAGCAAGTGGACGCTAGGCGTAGTCTCACCTGCAAGCAAGTGAGCGACCACTACGACCTTCACGTGAACCCACCGCTGACACCCCTACACCCCATTGGATAACATACAACGAAGAGCAACCACACAGGCCAGTGGATTACGTTACCCACCTTATGAGAGACGCCTGAAAAAGCGAAAAATATTTCTTCTCTCTTATAGACAACACAGAGGGATATGATGATGGTCTTCAGGATAGCCGAGGGCAAGACTGGGCTCTTCAATTTGACGATTTCTTTGAATTGGCGCGAACAACCTATCTTCGAGGTCACCAAAACAAACTGAAGATAAAATATGCCAAACTTAAAGTGAAGGCCAATTTCTTCTCCCATCGGCTGACTGAAGGGTGGAACAAATTGCTGAACTCCGTTGTCTAAGCGGAAAACGTTGGGACTCGATATTTGCTCGATATCGAAGACTGGCATAACTGTCAAGTAAGTGTGTGCATGATCTTCATCCATCTACCCAGTAGGGTTTTCCAAGGCTCTGCTATATCCTTAATATAAAGTGACCATACTTAATTATATTAAAATTGTTGGTCCCCATTCAGAGATATTCTGGAGCCTGCAGTATCCAGAGAAAGCCGTGTTTCCGTGAAAGCCATGATGTCTGGTATTGTTTCATCAACTAAGTCTCTAAGTTCGTCCAATTTGTTGAACGAGCTCTGAAAGTTGCGGGGATAGCTTTCAATAATAGTTTAGTCGTGGAGACCTAGGCTTCATCGTGACGGATCTTGTCCACAGGAATGATTCCACGATCTGAATTATTTGACCATCATTGATTTCCAGCCCTTTATCCTCCCTATTCATCCTCTCTCTCAACTTTGTTTTCAATCTCCTTATTCTTAGTGTTCCCTCAATTTGTAGAGGGGCTGAAAAAAACCCTCTTATTGCGCTCTCTGCAAAGGCCTTTTTCCTTCTAATAGAAGCGCTGCCTGTGCTTCGTTCTCTAAAGTAATTTTAAGAATCCTAGTATGGTTTCAGGCCCGCTTTGCCTAGTCAGAGAGTTTTTGGTACCGTAGAATGGTCCTCATCCTTCTGGATAACGCTAGTGTGTCCATGAAGAAGACCTAAGTCTTCCGTTGCAAGCCCCTGGGGAATGCATAATGTAGGTTCTGGGAGACCCTTTATAACAACATTTCTTTTATGGTGCATAGGCGAGTTCTTCATTTACCTGTCTGTGCTAGGACGATACCCCGCTACCGTGGCGCCTCTGATGAATGGTGAGACCTCGACCTTAGACTTATTTTCATTCGAAATTGGAATTATGAGGATTAATTTGTGCATGAAGTGATGGCTTCGACCTGGGAACTTACGGAGTCATTTCCCTACTGTTCTGTACCGTAGACAGAATTAATATCCCCACTGACATAAAAAGACCGTTGAACGCACTCCCTAGTTGAGTTAACCATTTGATGAGGTGAGGTGACGGCGAAACCTTCCAGAATTAACGACGAGCTCGTTTATATTCTAACAGGTCATTTAAGGACGGCCCTTGTTGTGTCGTCCCCAACGTTCGGGGATTTGGTAGGTTTAGTTACCGCAGAGGGTAATGAAACTAAATTAATATTTGTCACATTAGCGTTGGCTACCTCGTTATTTCCGTTGAAATTATTTCTGGAAGTCACCTCTGATGTATTACTTGCTTTCTCTTCATGACTAACTGCGTTTTCCACGACTGAGCTTTCTTTAAGAGGATATTCGGTGTCTATCAACTGGAAAGCTGAATGACTTTTTTGGGAGTGATCCTGCTGTACTCTAGAAATCCTTAATAATGTCTGTCCGTAGGTCTTGGTTTTCTTCTGATGTCTTAAGTCGCCTGTTGGAGTCCACACAGCCGACACAGCGACGGGCTAGAGTGCGGTTTATCCCATTATCCATGTAGTTTTTAGTACATGCTGTCAGTACACTGGTCGATGGATCCCAGTATGCCTAATCACTCCGGTTTCCTATGATCCCATTACTATTTCTTCGTAAGAGACTGTTAATGCTTCAATAGTGGTCCCCAGCCGCCTATGCGTGTTTAACAACTTAGTACGATCGGTGGCGGACCGTCTGATAACATCTACTTCATCTTTCTCCGCAGCCGGTCAGTTTGTGGATTCTCAGAGTCCATAAACACAAGGTTCTTTATTTACAGGGGAACAATGTTTATAAGGTAGCCTTTCACTGCGACTAGACAACCGTTAAAGAATTCGTTCTGTTCAGGTTTCCCTTGCACCAGAAGGCTGACCGTACACGTGGCTAGCTATATTTATGTCATGCCTTTCTCCATGAGAATCGTTCATGTGAGATACATGGTCTTTGGTTCGACCAAGCAGCTGATGCGCAGACGGTGGTTGAGATAAAACGTCGTTTGCCTCGAGACACGAAAATCCGGATGACACAGGCGCGGCCTCGGCCACGGAACAGTGAGATAAGAATGAATGTTTGGCATGTTTTCTGAAGTGTGCAAGTGTTCGGCACGCACCGCGGTGACAGAGAAAAGATTGTAAGTGTATGTCGGCCCCATGTCGTAGCTCCAGTTCCCCTGACTCCAAGGCAAATTGCTCTTTCACAACTTCATCTCATAAATCACCACGCATCGCATGATTGCCGACGCCTACCTTACCATCCAATACTCATTCAGTCATCATTAAGTTTTCAAAACACTCCGTAAATGTCATCCCCACTTTTCTGACCTCTTTATTTTATGGATGAATTAACTCATCGGCTAAGATCCAAATGGCCTTCGGTGAAGACAATGAATATTACTATAACGTGATGACAGATATGGCGGCCTTGTCATAAAGGGCGCAAGTGTTTTGTCTATTTTTGCGTTAGCCTGAACGCATGCACGGCGAGGCTTGCGCTTAAAAACTTCAGCAAGAACTCTTGATGGCCACTGATTGGGCAGACACTAATAATAATTGTTTTTAAGGCCAACTACAGGTACTGCCAAAGAAAAATAAAACCCGCATCAGGCTACCAGTGAGAAAAACTCCTCCCGATTAAATATTTAAGTTGATGTTTTTGTAATTTGGATGCTTCAGGAGAAAAAACTGCTGCCCATTAAATGACGTCAGTGCAGAAAAGGATGGGTAACGCTGCTTTGGATATTTTCAGTCTCAATCCCTTCACGTCAAATCGGTACTGGACCAAACATAGGCAGTGAAAAACCGTTGTCCTCTGGTGGCTGAATATATTGTCCGTGTTGAGACGAACCAAGGGCTCAGAGACCACGAACTTCATCACTACGGTAGAGTAAATCGGTCGATTCAGCAACCAATATATGTAGGAAACTTTATAATTGCATAAAACGATTAGTGTTTCTTTTTAAAAAAAGAATAATTCTGCAGAATTTTATAATTCCTGGGCAACTTGTTCCAAATCGCAACTGAGTCCACAGAAAAAGGAGGATATTTAACAGAACGTACCAGAGGAAGAAATAAACAGACTTCACGATGACCATTACGTCGGGGATGGTCGAGAGGTTTTAAAGTAGTAAGTGGGTTAGAAGTACGGTTTTTCAGAGCTTAAACAGTAAAAATGGTCCTTTTTGCAGATGACGATACCACATGGGATCAGGGCCTGTAAGCTTGCAACGCTCCTAATTGTTCAAGTGTTAGTGGCCCAAGGTCAAAACTCTCATGGCAAAAAAGTTGGACAGATTCTGTTTTCTTACGCTCAGCAGCAGGTATAAGGTTAACTAAAAGCGAACAGTATTCCAGGCCAGGTTTGTCGTACGTTTTGGAAAGGTGAATTCTGCTATCGTTAGTTTTGCAATTTTGGAAGATAAATCCGGTAGTTCTGCGTGCTTTGGAGACTATCAGAGCGCAGTGCTCCGAAAGATTAAGACTCATTGAGTGTTATACATTCAGATCCTTAATAACGACTGCAGATTTATGTCGTGACTGTCAATACTTAGTTGAGGTTGGTGATCGTCACCAACTATCCTGACTGAGCAATTCTGCCAAGAAAGAGGAAGGCGCCATGTGCAGCGCCACTGGGTAAAGGCTTGTAGATCGCTCTTTTGGAGCTCGAGCACGATGCCTCGATCCGTTGACTTATATCGATATGCAACTTTCAGATCATCCGGGTACATGAAGGCTTACCATTCTGAGATTAATCTGGTACATCGTTAACAACAAGGCAAAATAATAGCGGGCCAAGTGCACTACCCTGAACGACTCCACTCCTCACACATGTGGGGTTGGAGATAACTTTGGAAATCTTAACTCGTTGTGTAAGAGCGCACAGGTAAAAAAATATAAAATGCAGAAGTTTGCCACATATGCCGAAGGAGGACCGTTTCCAGTTTATTTGGTAAGGATAATATCCAAAGCCTTTGAAAACCCTATTGATTACATGTCAGCTCGTTAGAAATAACTGTACAATAACAAAAAATGTTCACTATTAAAACAGTACTTGGTTCATTTGAGTAGCATTGTCTCAGAGAAAATATTTGTATGGACAAGGGGTATTAATTCAGATTCACACTGTCGAGGGAAAACAGGGGACACAAATAATCATCCAAGCGTTTCTTGAAGAGTTGCAGGGACGTAGCCTCCACGACTGACTGGGGGAGATCGTTCCATTTCTCCACTACCCTCTGCGTGAAAAATCCAGAACGTAGATTCAGCCTGGACATTGTTGTCCGTAACTTCATCGAGTGACCACGAAGATTGGGTGAAAGGTGCCACTGAAACATGTCCTCAAATTTAAGTCCATACTCAAGGCCATGTATTATCTTTTAGACGAGGATAAGATCACCTCTTTGATGCCTGTAACACATAGGGAATAAATTAAGGCAATTCAGTCTTTCTGTGTAGGATTGGCTCTTTAGACCGTTTACCAGCTTTTTTGCACGCCGTTGTACTCGTTCGAGGCATGCTTCGTCCTTTACTAGCCACGGCCGCCATGCTTGTATGCCATATTCTAAGTGGGGCCGAACAAATGTGCCGTAAACTCTCCCAAAAAGGTCTTGGTCAAAGTTAACGAAAGCCCTTTTTATTGCATGCAGCACTCCCATGGCGTTTTTTGCAGCCTTCTGACACTGCAGTGTTGGTTGCAGGTTGTTCTGTATCCAAACCCCGAGATCCTTCTGTGAAGATTCTGCGGGGAGCCTTATATCTTTCAGGTGATATGTCCTCAGACTCTCATTAGAATGAGAGTTGGTTGGACGCAGATGAAGGATGGCACACTTCTCCACATTGAAATCCAGAAGCCATTTCTTCGACCACGCGTGCAGTCGGTGCAGATTATCTTGAAAGGATCTCTGATCATTCGGACCCTTAATGACTTGCCAGAGCTTAACGTCGTCTGCAAACATTATTTTGCCGCAGTCGAGTTCCTGAAGGCTGTCGTTAATGTAAAGGATGAAGAGCAATGGTCCCAGAACTGAGCCTTGCGGCACACCACTGGTCACATTCACCCATTCTGGCATATCATCCCCGACACAGACACGTTGTTTCCGAGCAACCAGAGACGCCCTTATCCAGTTCACAAGATCTTCCCGGATGCCGATGGCGCTCAATTTGTGAAGAAGACGTTGGTGCGGGACAGTGTCAAAAGCTTTGCGGAAATCGATGTATACGACATCGACCTCAAAACCCTCTTCTAGAGCCCTGGTCCAGATCTCCAGACAAGCTAGCAGATTTGAGAGGCAGGAACGTCCTCTACGGAAGCCATGTTGAAAATCCTGCAAGATGTTATTTTCTTCTCAAAATTGCTGTATAGCGCTCTTTACTATAGCTTCCATCGTTTTGCAAGGGAGGCAAGTTAAGCTAATAGGCCTAAAGCTGCTTGCTGTCATCTTGCTACCTCCCTTATGCAATGGAACGAGGTTAGCTGTCTTCCACTGTGAGGGCAGCCTTCCTGTTCTCATTGACAGCTCAAAGAGAGTCGAAAGAGGCTTTGACAGCTCCGTTGATAGCTCCTTAAGTATCAGCCCGGGAATTCCGTCGGGTCCAGGAGACTTATCAGGTTTTATTTGACTGAGGACGCGTCTGACTTCTTCGACAGAAAAGGCGACAGTTTCAATGACGGCAATATCTTGGCGCATTTGAAGCTCCCGGCTGTCTCGGTCCATTTCAAACTGCTGATTGTCTTCTAGGGACTCCTCCGTAAAAACCGATTGAAAAAACTGAGACAGTAATCGCACTCTCTGTGGCCCTTCAACTACTAAGTTTCCGAGGCTATCCTTTAGACACGCAATTTCGTCCCTATGTTTTCTCCTACTGCGGATGTACCCGTAAAACTTCTTGGGACATGTAATGGATTCTGCTATCAGTCGACGCTCGAAAGAAGTTCTGGCAACCCGTATTTCTTTACGGCATTTATTGCGCTGATCCTTATATTCGGCGAGTGACCTTGGATCTCGAAGTTGCAAATGCTTTTTCCAGAGTCTGTTTCTTCTTCGTGGTCTTTTTTGTCGTCGGATTGACCCATGGCGGTCGCATACATGGTCTTGTCATTTTTATTGGACAATGGGAATCAATTAGACGCTCTATAATCCCGCGAAAGTACTGCCAAAATTCGTCTGAATCTTCTGTGTTGACCAACCAGGTTTCCTCCAAAAGAGTGCGTCTCATTGCGTTAAAATCACCCTTCCAAATATTTCTGCGCGTCTTGATTTTTGGTTGTTGGTTGGATAGGAGAGAGCACACGCAAGTAAAAGCAATATAATCGCTTAAAGCGAGTGGAGGTTGGGGATTCACTTCCTTTATAAGTCCTTCTTCTTTACTGAAAACGAGATCTAAACAGTTAGATCGTTGTCCTTCTCTCATTCTTGTTCCGAATTTTATGTGCTGAATGAGGTATTCATTCAGGGAGAGCTGCAGCAGCTTGTGGTCAAATGACGTGGACGGGGCGTTTGTTAGGCGAATGTTCCAGTCTATTCCTGGAGCGTTTAAGTCACCCAGAAGTAGTAAGTTCTCCTGCTTACATAACAACTTCCAGAGAAGAAGAGCATGGCGAACACGATCAAAAGCCTAAGTGAAGTCGAAATATACTGCGTAAAGTGCAAAACCATTGTCCCTGGTTTGGAGAACATGGGGAAAGAAAGAGAACTGACAGTTGTCACAAGACCGAGCTTTAAGGAATGCATGCTGGGCAACACTCAGCAGGTTATTCTCTGCTAACTGACATATCATCTCATCTTTAATCAATGTCTCTAAGATCTGTGAAACTGCGGGGAGGGTGTTTATTGGCCAAAAGTCATCAAATCACGTAGATTGGCCATGTTTTGAATAGGTAAAATGTGTGATTCCTTCCACAAGGTAGGACAAGTTTCACTTTCAAGAGCAAGATTAAATATCTTACATAAGAGGGATGGGAAAATCGTACTTGCATCGGCTTTTAAAATGCTTACTGGGACACCATCGGGTCCTGGGCTATGAGATTGACGAAAACGCCGAATCTCAACAGTCACATCCCACAGAGTGAGATTTATAGTTTCGAGAACTGTCCCGGTCAATGCCTGGACGGTCGGAAGCGGAGTGGTCGAGTCTTCACTAAACGTTTTGGACAGGAAAGTAATGAAGCTATCAGCGGTTAACTGGGCATCAACCATAGGATTTTCGAGAGCGTCTCGGAGGGCGGGATGTTGCGTCTTTCTTTGAGTTCGTACTTTTAGGGGGAAAAGTTTCGATACATTTAACGAACGGTTTTCAGTGAATTGGACATTTTTGGCTAGTTGATTTTTTTCTCATAGCTCGCTCAAAAATATCAAAAATCAAGGGCAGAACGGAAACGTCGTTGTGAAGATGGAATTGACGATAAAGTCTGCGCAACCTGCGAAGAAAGGGTAAATGTAGGAAAGCCTAATCTCCGAAATTGGCTATTTTCTTACGGGGGACAAAACAAGAAATAAGCGGATCCAAAATGTCGTACAGTTTAGCAGCGCAAAAATTTACATCCGAAGTTAGGAAGGAATCAGTCCAATCGTAGGAATTAAGGTGTGTTAATAATTCGGTCGAGCGAGCTGATCAGAAGTCGCGGAAAAAACCTATACTTTAAGGACAACGTTTTGTCAGCCTCGAGTTGCAACGTTGAAACAACTATGTCATGGTCTGAGCCCCCAAGTGGGCCTAGGGATGACACTTACGAAGGCATGCAGCCTCTACAGAAAATTAGTTCAAGCATACTTGCTCCTCGGGCGGAAATCCTACAACCCGACTCCACACGCCAACATCCACAGTCTCAAGTAAGTCGTCGAATTTTTTGGGAGCGAACGGCAGAGACCAGCGGGGCACAGAAAGATTACAGTCATCCGCAACCACTTGACATTTAAAGCTTAACTCGGCCGTAGCATGAAATGCCAGTGAAAGACAACTATCTAAATTCTCATTGGCCTTGGAAGGGTGATAGACACAGGCAACGAGTAAAGAAAACTTATTCTTTAGTGCACATGGGGCCAGTAGCTGCCTTCGACCACGGAAAAACGCGGGAGGTTCAGCGGCAGAAACGTAAAAGTTTGCTTAACGTAGATGCATCTGTCCCCACCACGGCTCTCTTGACGATAATTTCTAATGCATGTATAGCCTAGAAGAGAGAACTAGGAATCAGCTACGGAAGCTGATACCCATGTCTCATTTAGTAAAAAAATATCTGGACAATGGACGAACACCAGAGTCTGAAGCAGAGACATCTTATCTAACAAGGATCTGGCATTTAAAACAAAGAGTTTAAGGGGAAGGGCTGTTTGTTTCTGAGGGAGGTGAGTTACGTAATCCAGTGATTGGCTGCCCACGGAACATATAGTCCGGATGCACCTATCTGCAAACGTTTTGTGACACCGAAAGATCCCGATGTGGATAAAGAGGACTAGAATTTGGGGGAGGAAATGACGGGCAGGAAAACTACTTACTGACTGATTTTCTACTGAAAATCCACGGACCGGATACTGTAACGTATGCCTGCCGAAATGAAACTGAGGATCGGGTGAGTTAACCAACCGCATATGAACATTTGCATGAGAATTCCATTGACTTACGTGAGAGCATTTAGCCTTGAGTGGCTGGAGGCCTGAACCAGGTTGGTTGATACATGAATAGGGGCGATTCATGTGCGAAATATTTACAAGATAGATAGCCGGTATGCAGGACAGAGAATTATTTGGGGGTATAAGTGGGGTTATGGGGTTTGTAGAAAAGCTCTGCTGTGAAGGCTTAGCAGATCTACGATGAGACTTTAGACCACTGAATGGAGTTGTGCTACCTTTCTTTTGGGTCACAATAGGTTCCGCTTTTAGATCTTATCGTTCTGACACCACGTCACAGGTGACTCAAATGGAGGACTCGGAGGACCCAGCATGGTATCCTTGGACGTAGTATTAGTACTTACAATTGAACCACTTGATGATACAATAGATGAAATATGCACCTTTATCTGCAACCGCCTCTGATGATGGGTTAGAGTGAGAATCCGGAATGCCAGGCCAATAAAATTTCGTGTTCCAGTGACCGCATCTTCTTCTTCTTCTTCTTCATCTTCGGAGACGTCATATGCGCATATACGTCCGAAACCCGTCCCTCACCCGAAATACTACGTGACTTGTCGAAACTTTGCACGAAAAGTGTTCAGTTTCTGTTTACTGGACAACTATACAGACAAATTGACGGAGTGGCAATGGAAAGTTAACTTAGTCCAACCTTTGCCGACACTTTTATGGATCAGTTAGAAGAAAAATTGTCATCTAGATGGAACATGAAAACACTATACAGGAGATACAATGCGTGACCTAACTCATGAAATGTGTCGAAATTTACGAATGATTGCCAATTACTCGCAAGCCGACATCATTTCATGAGTTCAATGGCTATGTTAATTAAGTACAAGTTTAAAAGAATTAAAAACATAAAAGAAATATTATAAGCAGTGTTGAATTGTTTAGAAATGTCGATTTATTTTGAGAAGCGCAATATCCCGAAAAAGTCAGAAATGGCTCTAATTAAGTAAAGTTAGTTTCAGATCGGCCTCGAAATATTGCTGAATACTTCGTGATTTTCAGTGTTTTCACCCGATCGCCCATAAAGAAAGATTCTGAATTACCTGTCTGTTGAGAACTTTAAAATAAGATTTTTCTTGAAGGCATTTACCGAATTAGTGAGTGTTCAGGCGCTCCTTTTCACGAAGATGGTCGTTTGGGTCATATTTAAAAACTCATTCAAACATCAAACTTCATTTTCGAGAAAAATGACTGTCCACAAAGAAAGTCATCAACGAATATGCCTTTCATCAATAAGAAAACTTGCCTTAATTAGTTACCTCTTTAGGAAGTGCTTTATTACTGCACTCCGTCGACGGATCTCTATGTACTTTGCATTTTTGCACGGCGAAGCAAAATAAAAATTTGACACTTTTGACGGTTTCTTTCACGTTCCTGAGAAATAGTAATATGTTTCTACCGTAAACGCAAGAGCATGCCTTTCTCTATACATTGAGGCCATTTCCACTGTTTTTGCTCGCTTTTAGATTCTGTTTTTCGATTATGAATTCACGGCAGTGCGTCCATACGAATACTGATATTTCGATGAAACTAAAAATGTTTTGCTCGTCCTATTTCTGAAAAAAAGTATGCACAGAAGCTAAAATGCTAGAAAAGTAGTGTGTCATATGTTTAAAGCTGGAAATGACCATTCCGTGGTGGTCATTTATGTGACATCAGGTAGAATTTTCCAAACGACAAAAAATTTCAGCCCACTTAAACGAAGTAATCTCTATATGCGTTATTATTGCACTTTTGGACACCAATTCGCACGGATTTGCTAATTAGACATAAGGGAATTGATAAAACATCTGGTTTTCTTAAAATAACCGTTGCCTACTGCTGTTTCTGATGATGAGGTCGAACACGAGTCCGAAACTGCGGAGAAGTAGACTTGTTGTCCCAGGAATGTAGTCGTCTCCTTTTTAATGGCTTTCTGCAACTGAGTTTTCGCTTGTACCACACTCAATCTTATCGCCACTTTACCATGAGTTCGGGACTGGCCAGTGATATATGGGACAGGAGTGGGGCCACCACAGAGATTCCCTGCATGGCAAATCAGAGCACTTCACAACATAGCAGACCTGACGCGTTTGAACTAT